TCAATTACTACCTGGCATGCTTCTGTAAAACTTCTTTTTCTTGTGTCTTTTGGCTGTTACTCCTTTATTACCGCTTCCTATGAAATTGATTTTATACTATTTCCTAAAAATGGAATAGAAAGATAACTCGGACTTTCCTTTAGTCTGGGGTTCAAAGTTCATTTTTTTGCATAAAACATGTCATCGGGTTGCATAAAACATGCAGCTTTGGTCGTAGATGCACTTGCCGTGGTACGGCTGTGGGCTTTTGCCTCATAAACTAGAAATCTCATCCACTCTACATTATGCAATTACCATAAAAGCAGCATAAAACTGTGCGGTGCATGCATAGGTGCTACAGGATCAAGCGTATTTCAGACAGAGAGGAATTCATCCTGACCAGGCATTGATTAGACCTGAGTCCTCAGGGGCTTGGAGGAACTGACCACAGACCCGCTTCCAGCTTCACGCAGAGCAAAACTTGCTTCTCTGCCACCACGCACCTGCTTTACCGCCATGTCCTGCCGCAGTCTGGAACCCAGCAGCCTTGGCTCATGATACCAGATGCGTGAGCACAGCAAATAGTGGGAATGTTCCTGAAAACTGAGACCCCGCCGGAAGGCCTGAAGCTCAGCCCGGCCCTGACATGACTCAGCTTCAACACGTCCTGCTGCACCCCAACCAGCCCATGGTCCCCAACATCACAGAAAGAGATGGCCTTGGCAAATTTTACAAAACCAAGTGACTGTGGGAGCTCCTTGCAGGAACATTTCAGGGTCTGTGTGAGGCAGCACAACTGCAGTGTCCCAGGGCCCGTGCGTCCTCCCTGTCACTAGCTAGCACCCAGCGCTCTCTAACACACTGTGCCAGGGGGTGAGGATTCCTGTGGCCCTTCCTCCAATCGGCACTTACTGTCAGATTGTGGAAAGTTTCAGCCTCAGGGCTGTGAGATGTGTCTCCTTCTGAGCTGCCATTTGGCTTTCCTTTATGTCTCCTTCTGAGCTGCCATTCAGCTTTCCTTTTCCATTGATTTCCTATTCATATGTTTTGCCCATTTTCCTCTCCAGTTCTTTGATTTTTTCTCAGTCATTTGCAGGACTTCCTTGTGCATTCTGCACAGTAAAACGCTGCAGTTATACACATGGCAAATATTTTCCTCCAGTCTGGCTTGTCTTTCATCTCTGTAGCAGACGTAACTTTAATAACCTTAGGACTTACCTCAAGGTATTATCCCATGTTTTCTTTTACAGGCTTTGAAAGTTTTGCTTTTCATATTTTAAGCCTTTTAATCTACCTGGAATCAACTGTGTGTGGTGTGAGGTAGGGACCTTCATTTATATGTCTTTTCCATGTGGATAAAAAGTTCCAGTTGTTCAGCATGTTTCCCCACAAACGTTCTTGCCGCTGTGCTGTCGCCCGGCTTTTCTGCTTCTGTTTCTGGTCCGTTTCTGGGCTCTCTCTTCTGCTGACCACCTGGGTTGGCCCTATGACAGAGCCTCACGCTCTCAATTACAATGGCTCACAAAAGAGTGGCTAAGACCTACCAGGCCAGCTGTTGCACTTTGCGCATCTTTCTCCCAATCTCTTGAGCTTTTCTTTAATCTCTGTCTGTCGTCTGTATCATCTTGTCATTCCTGGTATTAATTGCTGCTTTTCTCATTTTTTTCTTCTTCAATCCTGTGAGAAGTTTATCTATTTTACGGCATTTTCCCCAAAGAGCCAGTTCTACTTTTTTTGGTTATTTCCAGTTTCCCTTTATTTCCTAGTTTATGAATTTCTATTCTTTATTTTTATCTTCTGATTTCTTTAGGTTGTTTCTGTTTCTTGATTTGGACGCCTGACTTATCTGTTTTTATTTTTCTTCTTGTCTCATAAATGCATTTGAGGCTACAGGCTTCTCTCCGTGGACTCTTTTAGCTACATTTTTTAGTTATAGCACCTAACGTGTTTATAGTTTTTCAGTTCTAAATATTCTGTATTTTTGTTGTGGTTTGCTCTTTAACCCACAAGTTGTTTAGGAGTGCATTTAAAAAATTTATATTCGTTTATATAATACTCTGGTCATTGTTGATTCTAATTTCATTGCCTTGTAGCCAAAAAGGGCAGGCTCTGTTGTTTAGGTTCTGTGAAATTTCCTGCGTTGCTGGTATGTAGTCAATTTTTGTGAGCATTCCATGTGTACTTTAAACGAGTGTGATTCTTTAGTTGTTAGGACAGGGTCTTTACATATTTTACAGTTTTTGTTTCCAAAAATTCTGTGTTGGTGTGAACTTTTGACACTATCTCTGTTTCTCGTAGAGAAATGTTAGCACCCCATTGTGACCGTGGATTGGCCGAGACCCCTTGCTTTTCAGTGTACTCTGGCTTTGTGTATTTGGGGGCAGGACCCCTTCAGACTCATGAATATTTATTCTCTTGGTAGATTGCTCCTTCATTTGTTTGGGTGCTGGCTCCCTTGTCATCCCTGTTGATGCTTTTAGCCTTAAATGATGTTTTTGTCCAAGAGCCTTCTTTATTTGCTTATAAAATGTATTTACTATTTCTTCCTACCTCACTTTTATTTCCTGTTCCCCATAGATCAGTATTCTCATGTGCCGAGTGTGCATTTTTTTTTGGTTTGTTTGTTTAAACACATGCAAAGGAGTATAATTTTGTTTTGTATGAATTTAGCACCATTTAAATATCCACTAAATGGAACTTTCTTTTCCCTCCTCATTTAAAAATTGAGCTATTAGTGTTTTTACAGTCGATAGTTAGTTAACTTTGCTGAGATATTTAATTGATCGCTGTGCTAATCATTGTTGCTTGTATCTCAAGCTTCCTTCTGGGTTCACATGTAGTTCTGCTGAAATTCATCCTCTAAAACTTCCTTTAATGAAGGTCTGCGAGTGCTAGACTCTCACTGTGGGTCTCACGTCTGTGATGTCTTTATTTTGCCTACCATATTTTATGGAGATTGAGCTCAGTATAACATTCTAGGGTGAATGTTATTTTTCCTCAGTTTGTTAAAGACTCCAGCTCATCGTCTCTGGAATTTAGTGTGCTATTGAGAAATCTGCTGGCAGTCTATTTCACTTCCTTTGTAGGTGATGTGTCTCTTCTTTCTGGTAGTTTTTACTCTTTTTCTCTCTGTTCTGGATATTCTGCCACTTGCTATAAACTAGGAGTGCGGGTCTCTATTTTGCTCATTACTTGGTTTTAATTTAGATCTGAGATCTCATGTCTTTTCTATTCTGAAGAATTCAGAGCTCTTAAGTTGCCTTTTTTGTCCATTTTTTATTTACTTATTTTTTACTTGTGAATTAACTTGTATAAGCCATTTTTAAAATTGCTTTTCTCTTGGGACTCCTGTTACATATACTGGAGCCTTTTGATCTGTTGTCCAGGTGTATTAACTTCACGTGTGTGTTTGTGTGTGTGGCTGTTTCTTTTTGTTTTTCAGAGCTGCTGCACTCTGGTCAGTTTCCTCAATACCATTTTATTTTTAGATATAGGCTGGAGACTCTGAATTTATTCTTAACACCTCAATTTTCTCTTTCAATTTTTTTACGTTTTCTTTGATTTTTATCATTACTGCCTTCCAGTATACTAAGTCTTTCTTCTACTATGTCAAGTCTAAATTTATCCTGTCTATTGAGTTTTTATTTACTATAGTATTTCTCTTCAAGATTCATAATTATTTCTATTTTATATCTTCTTTCTAAATGTCCTGGCCAGTTCTAATTTTATAATTTCTTTTTCTTTTTAATCTTAGGAATCTTCATCACACTGCTGTGATTGAAAAGTATTTGGCAGACGATTTGTTATCTGGAATTAATTCCTATACCAATTGTTCATTTTCAGTCTGTCTTCATGTGATAGTTCTTTGGGTAACTTGGAACGTGGGCTTGCTAGCTCATGTTAAGGTGAGGACATGGTGTCTATGCATTTTCATCCTTCTCTGTCACCATGTTGTTATCATCTCTGTCTAGCAGTTTTTTATAGCCCCACCTCTCATTGCAGGTCCCAGCTTCTGTTCTGCAGGCATGCACAGGGAGTCACACATGAAGCCACCCTATGAGAAGACAGCTGTCTCATCTTCCACTCTGAGGGTTGCTTCTGTGTCTCTTGTCTTCCTAGGCCCATGGATGCATCTGGAGGGTTTCTGAGCCTCCTTTCTGGAGTCAGAGAAACCCCAGTCGACCCTCCCCAGGAGCTGGATCCTGGACCTCCTCTTCCTGCCTCTGGACCTGGAATCAGTGGCCATGACTACAGTCACCTCGGCAGTGTGGGCCTCTCCTCCATTCCTGATTTTATGCATGTAAGTGTGTATGCATGCATATGTGTACATGTGTATATGTGTATACACACATGCACACAGACACACAAGTTTTGGTTTTCTCCCTCTTTATCTAACCCATCACTGCTCTGTGTGTAGAGCAAAGAGGGTCCTTATTATACCCTTTCTCGGGAGTGTGGATGCCCTCTTCAAATGCACATGTGCCATGTTGCACACATGGTGGATCTCTCTTTGTCCATGATGAACTTGAGGGTAAATAATGTGCCCAGGGATGCAGGAAGGTCAGCTGAGATGCAGGCCCATAGCTCTCTGACTCCAGCCCACACCCTCTCTGGCAATGAGGATGTCAAGCAGCTGGGGAGCTGGTGATGGACAGTTGCAGGGCTTCCACTACCCCTTGGTGGCTGCACACACAGGAGGTCTTCACGCCCTTTGCCTGACTCATTTCCCTCCCAGGAAAAGTCTGCAAATCTGTGCCTCTGGACAGTGGCCCTGTCCTGATGATCCTTTGGGGATTTAACAGGCTGTTATTTAACAACTTCCAACAATAATGACATTTTATCTGCTCCACTGCAGAACTGGCCACAGTTCATGGCCAGGAAGGGATTGGTCGGTGTCTGTGCCAAGTTCCCAGGGGTTCCCTGAGCTGAGCGGTATAAAGGACAGCGGTGTGAGGAGCTGGTGCAGCCTGTTCCAGCCCAGCAAGTGACCTGCGAGGTGGCCGTGAGTGCAGAACCCGGAGATGAAGACCCTGCTCCTGACCTTTGGCCTTGGCCTCATCACTGCCTTGCAGGCCCAGGACCCCACAGCCTCAGATGAGAAGAATCAGGATGTGAGGCTCACATGGGCAGGTTGGGCTGGAGGAGGCTCTGGGAGAGGCTGAGACTTCTGGCTGGAGACCCTGCCCCGAGGGGATGGTCAGACAGAGCAAATGGAGTCTGGGCCAGCTGGTCCTGGGTGCAGAGGACTGGGCTGGGATGTTGGTATTTGGTGACTCCACCTTTCCCTTGTGAGTCAGTCCTGTGGTCCTGGCCAACCTGTAGGAGCTGGGAGCCAGCAACTGAGTGGGTCTGGTGAGGGCACTGGGCATTTTCAGGGTGGGCTAGGGATTGTAGGACTGTAGTTCTTGGGGTAGGGCAGAGTCTAGGGTCTGCAGACCAAGGAAGGGGAGGCTCTGGAGGGGACTACCTGAGCTCTGATGGAGAGGAACCTTCTCCAGTTGTCAGGCACGTGGTATCTGAAGGCCGTGACAGCAGACAAGGAGATTCTCAAGCAGAAGCCAGAGTATGTGGCTCCTGTGTCCCTCACGATCCTGGAGGGGGGCAACCTGGAGGTCAAGTACTCCATACCGTGAGTGTCTGTGGGTCTGGGTCAGGCCCACTATCTTCTTCTGCCTTCTCTTTCCCATTCGGCAGAGCTGATGGCTGCAGGGTGGGGGGAGACCACACCGGAGCCCTTCTCAGCCCCTTCTGCAGCAGTGATCACCTGGCATCTCTGAGGGCACACTGTGCCACCACGAGTGTCTTGTCTGAGGAGGGGCCACACAGGGGAGAGAGGCCCCGGATCAGAACTCATGGGCTTCGGGGGCAGTGCTGGTACCCCCTTCTACCCCCGACTGGGAAACAGGTGCTCCACATCCAGACCAGAGACAGGACGCAGGCTGGGCCTCACGAATCTGGGCCTATAACCCTCGTGGGACAAGGCTGGAAGAATGACCAAGATGGGGACAATAGACATCAGGGAGATGGCTTGGCAGGCATTGGCAAAGACTGCTTTGAAATCCCTGTGTGACTTCCCACCTGTGCAGCTCACACCTGTGTGACTTCCCACCTGTGTGTCTCCCACCTGTGTGCTTCATACCTGTGCAGCTCACACCTATGCATCTCACACCTGTGTGACTTCCCACCTGTGCAGCTCACACCTGTACAACTTTCCACCTGTTGACTTCCCACCTGTGCAGCTCACACCTGTATACCTTCCCACCTGTGTGGCTCCCACCTGTGCAGCTCACACCTGTGCAGCTCACACCTATGCGTCTCACACCCGTGTGACTTCCCACCTGTGTGGCTCCCACCTGTGCAGCTCACACCTGTGCAGCTCACACCTATGCGTCTCACACCCGTGTGACTTCCCACCTGTGTGGCTCCCACCTGTGCAGCTCACACCTGTGCAGCTCACACCTATGCGTCTCACACCCTTGTGACTTCCCACCTGTGCAGCTCACACTTGTACAACTTTCCACCTGTTGACTTCCCACCTGTGCAGCTCACACCTGTATACCTTCCCACCTGTGTGGCTCCCACCTGTGTGCTTCACATCTGTGCAGCTCCCACCTACGCATCTCACACCTGTATGACTTCCCACCTATGTGGTTCCCACCTGTACGACTTCCCACCGTGCAGCTTCCCACCTGTGCAGCTTCCACCTGTGTGCTTCGCATCTGTGCAGTTGAGACCTGTATGACTTCTCGCCCATGTAGATCCCACCTGTACAACTTCTCACCTGTCTGTCTTCCCACCCTAGTGTCATGGCAGTGCCTGACCTCTGGTCCTGGGGGCCAACCCTTAGGGAGCCATGACCCTGACGTTCGCATTTTTTTTCCCACGAGCCCCTAACTCAACCTTTCCCTCCCTGGAGCGGCTGACAGTGGATGTGGGGTTCGTCCCTGAACATCTCGTGAAGGAAAAGGCCAACTGGAGCAGCCCCAGCAGGACAAGGTTCAGTCGCAGTGGGCTCGGGTCAGGCCATGGCCACAGACAGCACCTGAAAGCAGGAGGCCCCGGACCCCCGTGGTAGTGAGCGAGGGTGGGCTAGGAGGGCAGCCACCAGGAGTGGTCCAGAGCACCTGGGAGCAGGTGTGTGTGGCATGGAGGGCCCCGCTGGGGCCAGCTCTTGAGATGAGGAGAAGCTCGTTCCTCCATTTCCACAGCCGCTGCAGCTCCTGGCTGCCTTCATAGGGCATGGCGGATGGCTGCTCGGGGCAGGGGGCAGGGGCACAGACCAGGGCCACTTTACCACGTAGGTTCTGTTTTCCAGGAAAGCAGACCAGTGCCAGGACGTGAAAGTCGTCCTGGAGAAAACTGATGAGCCAGGCAAATACACAATCGGTAAGTCCTGGAGCCCAAAACACATGCTGGGGGCGGGGGTCGCTGGCACTTTTTGGGGTGGGATTTTGGCCTGAGAAGCTTTTCATTCCTTTCTGACCCCATTAAATACCCACCCTTCCCTCCCACCGGTCAACTTGCCTTAAAGACACAAGCACCTGACACCAAATACCTGCCATGGTGGATGTGTCCCCAGGGCCTGGGCTGTCCAGGGCTTGGTTACAGCTGTATCCCTGGCAGGGTGCCAGGAACATACTCATGTTTGGCTGGTTGGGGCTGAGCACCCCAAGCTCCAACTCTGCAAACCTTGCACTCCAAAACCTCCCTGTGACTCACTGGTTGGGGATGTGACCAGCCCTCAGGTGTGCTGGGTCCTTGGGAGGTGGGGACCACTGGGCCGGGGCTTGGGCTTGGTGGAGAAGCTGGGTCAGAGAGCTCTGGGTGGCTGGAGGGTGGGGAAGCTGAGGTGTGTGCCAGGCCGGTGCTGGGCCATCTCCTCGGGTCCTTTCTGAATGATCAGGTGGCTTATTCAGGACCTGTGTTGCTGTCCTGCAGATGGGGGCAAGCATGTGGTGTACATCACGGGCTCGCGCGTGAAGGATCACTTCCTTATCTACTGTGAAGGCGAGCTGCAGGGGCAGCAGATCCACGTGCTGAAACTCATGGGTGAGAGTCATGTCATCCCATTGCTGCAGGAGTGTCCAGCAGGGAAGGGGAGCGGGTATGTGGACAGCAGCGTGCATGGAAAGGCAGTTCCAACTCCTGGGGCTGGACTCCAGGTGAGGTGGCACAAGCAGACACTGGAGTGACAGGACAGCTCCTATGTGAAGCCGAGAGGCCCCTGGAAGGCCCTCCGAGTTCTCCCCACGCCCAGGAGTGTGCAAACGGCAGAGTCGTGGGGACAGGCCTACTGCCCTGGTGCCCCAGGGAGATGTGTTTCCTCCAGGGCCGGGCTGGTCCTGCGAGCAGACAGCATCTCCTGCCCGTCCGGCTCTGCTGCCACGGCAGCCGCAGGCGCCCCAGCTCCCAGCGCTCATCAGTCCTGCGGGCTGGGCTGGACGTGCCAGCAACTTCCCCGCTCTGCCTCTCACACTCGTGTCCCGTCCTGGTCTCCCCTTCAGGCAGAGACCCTGAAGACAACCAGGAAGCCATGGAGGACTTCGAGCAGGCCGCCGCAGCCAGAGGAC